CACAAGGATGATCAAGGGGCTGGAGCACCTCTCCTATTAAAACAGGCTGAGGGAGTTGGTGTTGTTCAGCCTGGAGAAGGCTCTGAGGAGACCTTAGAGCATCCATCCAGTACTTAAAGTGGGCCAACAGAAAAGCTGGGGAGAGACTTTTTCTCAGGGTGTGCAGTGATAGGACAAGGGGAATGGTTTTAAACTTAAAGAGGGTAGATTTAGAGTGGATAGTCAGATGAAATTCTTGATTTGGAAGTGAGGCACTGGAACCGGTGCTGTGGGTCCAGAGGACACCCAGAGGGAGTTTGGACCAGCCCATGCCCTTGTGTTTGAAGGAACAGCTGGCGAGAGAGGAGAGGCATCGCTGAAATCATGGGAATATCGGAGTGAGAGCAAGGTGGGGAAGAGAAGTGCCTGTCTGCAGCCTTCAGAGAGGTGTGGGACAGCATAGGAAAGTCTGCAGAGGAGAAGGCAGAGGGCTTTGACAAGAATGGAAGGCTGCAGCAGCACTGATTCCTTTGTCCCCTTGGCCATGGCTTATGAGGAGACGTGTTATACTTGCAATAAATGACTGAGTCCCAAATAGGATTGCAATTAAAATTTACAATTTCTTAAAGGAATAGAGGCAAGCAAACAGAACTGGGTGCGCCAGGAGTCTCCGCTCAACCAAGACGCACACCTATTACATCAGGTGGCTGTTTTTTATGCTCCTAGGCTAATACATGTTCTACACCACTTTTTGGAAAAGGCAGGGTTATTATAATTAGTTTCCCGGCATCCGAACCATCCCATGGACGCATGCGTATCAGTCTCCGGTGGTCCCTCTGGGGGGTCGCTCGTACTGAAGGCTCATAGTCTTCCTTCCAGGCTTTGTCCTTCAATTGTTCTTCATCTTCCCCCCTTCTTCTTATTTGGTCATATCTTAGCTGGATCTCAGAGACCCGTGCAGCGCCACATGCAATAGTTAGCAGTTATTTTGAAACCCCTTTGTTCTCTTCTCCCAGATATCAGAGACTTGTCCCATGCAAAAGTCAGCAGTTTTTGGAAACTCCTTTGTTCTCTTATCCCCTAGACCCGAGTCTCAGGGTTTACCCTTCAAACGCTCTATTGACACGAACTGCTAGACAATTCTTTTGCAAGATACAAGAACTATATACATTAACCACTCTGTTTCACTTAGACGTGTGGTTATCCAAGGGTATGTAAGTCAGAAGGTCACATTCATCATACCATGCAGCCCTAGCATTGTTCTATATCGACACGAATCAGATGAACATATTTCACATACTCGTGGCATTGGGACAATGTATTCTCCTTTCAACCATGTGAAAATGCTGGATGGTATCATAATGCTGTCCTTCACATGATATTATGGGCATCGTCCTACCCCACAGACTCCAGGAAGAGCCCTGAGTGAGACATGGAGGTGCTGGGGGTGCAGGATCTCCCCTCCCAGTGGCTGGGATCAGGCCTTGGCCTTCTGCTTCAGCAAAACAAACCAAGACTTTTCTCAGCACAGTGCCCTTGCCTGTCTGTAATCATGGCCTCTAGTTATCTGCCGTAAGAGTTCCCATGTGAGGCTTTCATAGAAACAGACTAGAATGACCAACAGAGTGTAGAGTATAGCGCAGTCTAATACTACGGAATAGAGTAGCCAGCAGAGGTGAGACAGGTACTTTGATATAATGAAAGCCATCAGAAAGCTGATCCCAGTTAGATGACTGATATGGGGAGGTCAGAAGTAACCTGGCCAGGACAGATGTGAGATTTGGGGGAGGGAAGAGAAGGGAGGAGGAGCTCAGAAACTTACCTTTGCAGAGGTACGAGGGTTCATGTAATGTTGAGGCTGCTGTGACACTGACTTCAAACAGTCTTGTAGGGCCTATAAACTGTTTTCAACAGTAACAATAATCCCTCAACCTAAACATTACACAAACACCCTGACAAGAGTCCACTACTGTACTGCAGAAATCAAAGTATCACCTGAAGAAAAACTCAGCCCATAGCCCCTTTCCCTTACATTTACTCTCTTGCTCACCCAAATCACTGCCCCTAACACTAACATCAGATGGCTCTATTTCATCTTAGACTTCTTGACAGATGTAAACAAAACCCTTAAGCATAATGTGTGACCATAACCTAACCAGAGACCTGACACCACAAGCAGAACACCAAATGCTCCATCTTAAACTTTGCTTAATCTACAACCCAGAAAGGTCAAATCTAGTCCCTAGGAGAGTAGAGAGAGGTCAGCTCTACCTCAGGATCTCTTTCCCCAGCAGGAGAAATGTGACTGTGGCAGGGACTGTGAGGTCACTTCTGCCTCTGCAGTGGATAGGGCAGCAGCAGGAACGTGTCACAGAAAGGGACTGTGAGGTCAATTCTGTCTGGAGGTGGCAGGTCACACTTGCCTTCTCTCTGGGATCTGCACTTTTGGGCTGACATCTGGCAGTGGCCCTGCTAGGCCAGCAGAAGGCACCTGCTTGGCATGCTGACTGTGGTTCCCCTCTGCCTCCAGAGCCAGGAGGACCCAGGCAGAAAGAAGGCCCCAACATGGGTTGTCCTGTCCCTTCTGCTTGAGTCCATGACTGGGCAGCAGCAGGAGGCACAAGGCTTGGCTGTGTCTCCACAAGAAGCTGCAAGGCTAGCAGCAGGCCCCTGGCTTGGAAGCTGCTGCTGAGGTGACTTGTGTCTGGTTGGCTGCCAGGCCGCAAGGAGCCTGCTGGGTTGGGATGCCTACTTCAGGAGTGGTTTCCACCCTTATGGAGCTTCCTTTGATAGTAGGAAAGAGCAGGAGAGAAAAACTGCCACAAAGTGCACCCTGGAATGTTGGCACCGGCCATGAGGAGGAAGAAATATCCAGGGGAACAACTGGTCCGTCTGCTAGAGTTAGAGGCAAAGAAGGTGTTAAGAGCCTCAGCCTTTACCTCCTTTCTTGTTACCAGGTTTCCCCTCACATCCAATAAAGGATGATGATTCTCCCTAATCTTCCTTTATGTGAAGTATTTATATAAGCAGTTTTTATTTTCTTTGACAGTAATACTCAGATGGAGCTGCAGCTGGGCTTTGACCCTTCTAATTTTGACCTGCACAGCCCCATAACATTCAGGACACAGCTCCAGACAAACTGAAAGCATGCATGGGAGGAAAGCACAGAAGACTTTCCTGCAAGTCCTGATGCTGCTGTCTTGTCAGAGATAGCACAATCACATGGAATTAGAACTGTCTGCCTGCAGACCTTAACGCCTGACAGAATGGAGAGTCAGTCCACGGGAACCTTGAGAAACCTCAAGATTTGTCTAAAGGAACATCGTGCCCTTTACAAGAAGAAGAGCCCTGTCCTGCACTGATGAAGCGTAACCCTACACATCAGGGCAACGTGGGACGCTGCTGAGTGAGCAGTGCCCAGAAGGAGGAGGGCCTGGGCACCACGAGGGATGCCATAGGAGCAGTGGTGCCTGCTCACTAGGAACCAGGCCAGATTCCTACAGAGTTGCCTTATGAGGAGCATGGCCACCAAGATGATCTGAGTTATCAGACTCAGTTCACATCTGGTGTGACACCACATGGACAAGGGTCTGCAGCCAGCTGGTAAAGAGGTACATGTCTGGGAGTCCCTAGGATATCCTGATTTGGAGAGGAGTAAGGGCTATGGCAAGGCTGAAAGTCCCAACAGGACCCGGGTCTTTGTGTCCATGGCTATGGCTGTTGTCTCTGCCACTGAGGAGTATGAGGAGACAGTTTACTGTTAAAGCACAAGGGCCTCATTGCCTCTTTGCCTCCACCCATCAACCAGGCAGGGGTTGTACCATTCTCCTGCACTTGGCCATGCACATCCCCATCTCCTGCTGCCCCTTGCAGAGCCCTGAGCACTGTGTGAAGGGAAAGGATCTCCCTTCCCAGGAGCTGCGGGTCCTGCGCTTTGCTTGCTTGCTCTGTGCCATTGGACTCCCTCGAGGTGTCCCCAAGGCCTCAGGGCTTTTGTTACTGTTTGTTTTTTTTTGGTGCTAGCAGGGAGGCCAGCTATGACAGAGGACTGCACAGTGCCTGCTGCTGCCTGCTGGGACACAGATGCCACTGCAGAGACAACAGGACTGGCACCAGATTACACGAGATATAATGTCTAACCCAAATACAAGAAACACAAGAGAATAATGTGGAAGCCAAAAGAGAGCAGCAGTGAAAAGGCCACGTCCTGCTGCTGGCCATGGCCATGGCTCCAGGGAAGCAGCAGCCCTGACCCGAAGGCAGCAGAGAGGCAGAACCCAGTGGGCAGTGAGGGGCAGACCCAAGGGCCACTGGGGCTGCTCGTTCATGTTTCAGCTGGGCTCTTGGCCCTGAGCCCCTCCTGCGTGTCGGGGTTTGCTCCCCCAGCTCCAGAGGAGATGGGAAGAGATGGCAGCTGAGACCAATGAATTTCTGCTGGATTCTTATTGTCTTTATCTACACAGGAAGCATGGTTCTATAGGTAAATCTTTAACAAGTAGAAGGCTAAGAATAATATTATTTATATCTGAAACAATAGTTAGTGAAAATAATAACACAGACAAATGTAAAAAAAAAAAAAAAAAAAAAAAAACCACTTAAAATTTTCTGAGAAAAATAGGTGTTTCTGATTATAGGCTAATTGTTATAGGAATTGTTATAAGAAGCTGAAGAACATGTATTGAAACGGTGTCCTCACTGCATCCCTTAGTTCCAGGTTCCTCATGCTGTAGATGAGGGGGTTCACCGCTGGAGGCACTGGTGAGGGGAAGAGATTGCAGTTGAGACCAATTAATTTCTCCCTGTTTCTTTATTGTCTTTATTTAAACATGAATATTGATTGTAAAGGTATTTGAAATTATTGACTTAATAATAAAAATAAAAATAAAAATTAAGAGACTTAGAATAACATTAAATCAAAGCCACAAGTTAGAGGAAATAATAATAAAGAAAACTACTTTCAAGAATTTGCATTGTGTCTTTTTTTCAGAAATCCTATGTGTCCTGTTGGTATTATATGCACATTATTTCTGCTGAAGAAAGATGTATTCAAATAGTTTCCTCACTGCATGCTTGATCTCCGTGTTCCTCATGCTGTAAATGAGGGGGTTCACTGCTGGAGGCAACACTGAGTATAGAAAAGCCACCACCAGATCCAGGGATGGGGAAGAAATGGAGGGAGGCTTCAGGTAGGCAAATATGCCAGTGCTAAGAAACAGGGAGACCACAGCCAGGTGAGGGAGGCACGTGGAAAAGGCTTTGTGCCGGCCCTGCTCAGAGGGCATCCTTAGCACTGCCCTTAAAATCTGTACATAGGACACCACAATGAAAACAAAACAACCAAAGACTAAGGAAAAACTGAAAACAAGTAGCTCAAGTTCTTTGAGGTAGGCATCTGAGCAGGAGAGCTTGAGGATGTGGGGAATTTCACAGAAGAACTGCTCCACAGCATTGCCTTGGCAGAGCGGCAGGGAAAATGTATTGGCCGTGTGCAGGACAGCATTGAGAAAGCCACTGCCCCAGGCAGCTGCTGCCATCTGGGCACAAGCTCTGCTGCCCAGGAGGCTCCCGTAGTGCAGGGGCTTGCAGATGGCAACGTAGTGGTCGTAGGCCATGACAGTGAGAAGGGAATACTCTGCATCAAAAAAGAAGACTATGAAAAGGACTTGTGCAACACATCCTTGATATGAGATGGTCTTGGTGTCCCAGAGAGCATTGGCCATGGCTTTGGGCAGAATGGTGGAGATGCATCCCAGGTCGAGGAGGGCGAGGTTGAGGAGGAAGAAGTACATGGGGGTGTGGAGGCGGTGGTGGCAGGCTACGGCGCTGAGGATGAGGCTGTTGCCCAGGAGGGCAGCCAGGTAGATGCCCAGGAAGAGCGCGAAGTGCAGGAGCTGCAGCTCCCGCATGTCTGCGAATTCCAGCAGGAGGAATTCACTCACAGAGCTGTTGTTGGACATTTACAGGTTCTGCCACGGAGTCCTGCCCAAGGCAGAGGAAGACTATTTACCACAGAGTTATGTGAGAGGAATAATTTCCATTTCTCTTTTAAGCCTTCCTTTTCAAATATCCGTAGACCTTTGGCGGGTCTTTTTCATGCCATATTAGTGATGCTGCCTTAAGGCCTCCATGGGAGCAGGCGATTCTGCTCTGGACAATGCAGGAGTCAGTCCTGACCTACAGCAAGAGATGAAGAACATAGGTGGATTTATATTTTCTATATTATGTTCTAGCTGCCCCACCACACCTGAGCACTGTCTGTAAGGCATAAATCCTGGGCACTTCTGCTGCATTCCAAGTGAAATCCTGTGAATCGTCAGAAGCAAAGGTACTATCCCTTTAGTTCGGGTTGTACTTTCAGAGGGGACAGCCACTCTGTCTATAGAGGCTGGTCTCTTCTGCTGGCATGTGTATGAGCTGTAGGATAATTATGCTCACATGTTCACCTGAAAAGAAGGAGGACACTGCTGAATCCAGGCTCAGAGTGCACATCTCCAGACACCTCACCCTGTCCCTGTATTTGCCATTCCCCAAGCACACCGAGGGTTCACTTCATGTGCATGTGAAACCCCATCCCCAGCCAGAATCACAGAATTGCAGGGGTTGGAAGGGACCTCAAGAGATCATCTGGTCCACCCCCCCTGCCAAAGCAGGTTCCTTGGAGCAGGCTGCCCAGGTAGGCATCCAGACAGGCCTTGAATATCTCCAGAGAAGGAGACTCCACAACCTCCCTGGGCAGCCTGTTGCAGAGCTCCGTCACCCTCACCGTGAAGAAGTATTTTTGCATGTTGGTGCGGAACTTCCTGTGCTCCATGTTTTGACTATTTGCCCCATGTTCTGTCCCCACAAACCACTGAAAAGAGGTTGGCCAAATCCCTCTGTCTCCCACACTAAGATATTTGTAAACATTGATGAGATCCCCTCTCAGTCTTCTCTTCTCAAGGCTGAACAGACCCAGGTCTCAGCCTTTCCTCATAGTGAAGATGCTCCAGGCCCCGTATCATCTTTGTGGCCCTCCGCTGGACTCTTTCCAGGAGATCCCTGTCTTTCTTGCACCGGGCAGACCAGAACTGGACACAGCACTCCAGGTGAGGCCTGACCAAGGCAGAGTAGACGGGGAGGGTCACCTCCCTTGACCTGTCTCCAAGCTCCTTTTAATGCCTGGGAACAAGACCAGCAGCAGCACGGCCAGGTGGAGAAGCCAGGAGGAATGCCAGCGTGCTGCTGCCAGGGGAGGCAAGGCCAGGGAGGGACAGACGGACACTCAGCAGACCCTCCTGTGCTGCAGCTCTGCCTGCAGAGGAGGCAGCTCCTTCTCTTTGCAAACAATCTCTGCTCTGCCTTGGCCTGCAGACACCTCCCAAAGACAGGGGGTATCAGGGCTTTTGCAGCTCCCCAAGATCAGCTAGGATAAAACCTGAGAGGACCACAATATGATGTTGGTGCAGTCTGTGAGATGAGGTTTGGGAAGGTAGTTTTCAAATTTCATTACTGATATATTAATTTCTCAGTACAATACTCCAGGAGTCTCAGTCTCCTGTACAACCCTGAAAATTCATTACCATGAAACCTTTGTCCATTCCACTGCAGGAATATGAATACACTGACTAAAAAAAATCTTGCTTTTCAGGTAGTCCCTGCCCTGGTCTTTCTCTTGAAAAATCCAATTTTAAATGTCATTCTCTAAAGCATCTTCTACTCCTCACTGGAGAAACAGAGAGAAACACCCTGACATATACTATCAGCCATCAGATGTGCCAGGTGTAGAAGACCCCTCTGGCAACCCCACCTGCACTGCCCTGCTGCCAGAGCCTCACGGTGTCAAGAGCCTGCAGATGTGTCCTGCCACACGCTGCCCTCTGTTGTTGCACTCCTCAGTGTCTCCAAGCCCTCTCTCCTTCTCTCCTCTCTGTGTGCCAGCTGCTGTCAGAGCCCCCAGCCCTGCTGCGCTGTGCAGAGGAGCTGCTCCTGGGCACAGCTGTCTCTCTGCTGCGCTGCCCGCTTGCCAGGAGCTCCCCTTGGGCCCAGGAGCCCGGCCCAGCTCAGCAGCACAGCACCCGACCATGGCATCTCTTGCTCTGTGCTGTTGGGCTCCCTCGAGGTGTCCCCAAGGCCTCAGGGCTGACAGCACCTGAAAGCAGCAGGGTCTCTCCTGGGGTGTGGTGTTTGAAGCAGCCCGAAGTCATCACCGACTGCCCTTCTCTGAACACAGGAAGGATGACTTTTACAAGGGTGATTTGTGCTTTTAGACTGTGGTTGTCAAAGATGTTGTGCTTTAACCTGTCAGGCACCTCAGCACCACACAGCTGTTAGCTCACACCCACCCATAAAAAGACAATGGGTTGAAATAATGATAATGTAAAAAGACAGAAAATGAAGAGATAGGAATAACAGTAACAATACTAATAATAAATAATAATAAACTATATTTTTATTATTGTTATATGTATAAAGCAAGTGATGAACAGTGCAATTGCTCATCACACACTGATCGATGCCCAACTTTTTCCCAAGCAGGGGTCCCACAGAACCTGGACAGCCTGCATTAGACTCTCGTGTACAGGTCCCTTGACCTTACTTTGTTATAGGGCAATACAGGTTTTCAGAAGGGTTTGCAACATTTGCTTCCCTTCCTCAAATACTTCTGCTGTGTTGGAAGTGTTCAGGAGATTCCCTGTGTTGCAGGGCAGTCTGGATCAGCCCATGGCAAAAGTAGGGCTGTGCTTCCAGCCCTGGGGCAGTTTATTCCAGGTGGGCAGGACACCCCTCCATGTGAAAGCAAAGTGTGGCCTTCGTACTGCCACCAAAGGGATGGAGAAAAAATGCATTAGTAATATTAATTGTGGCATAACACTTGGCTGCCTTTGACTCCAGTTCGTACTGAATGAAGTTCTAGCATGTCCAGCACAGCAGCACTCAGTGGTGGTGGGACTTCATTCAAGCCACAGAAGTGCACCGTTATCTTCCACTCCCCATTCGAATTTTGTACTGTCCATATGGGACTATTATAGGGTGAGCAAGTGTTGCTGATCACTCCGTGGCTCTCCAGTCGATGAACCAGCTCATGGATGGGAATCAGGGAGTCTCTGTTAGTGCAATATTGCCTCGGGCGCACTGTTGTGGTAGCGATTGGCTCCTGCTACTCATTGGCCATCAGCACCTCCACAGCAGAAGGGTCCTGTGAAAGAGTGGGCAAGGTAGACAACTGCTTGGTGTCCTCCACCTCCAAGGCAGCTATGCCAAAAGCCCACCAATACCCTTGTGGATCTCCTGAAGTAGTCTATGCCAATGTTACACAGAGCCTCCAGGCCAGTGCCAATGGGTTGCATTTGCCACTCCTTCCCCGTTAGACTCACTTCAGCCTCCTGTATAGTTAACTCTTGGGTTTGATGTGCCAGGCCAATAATCCTCAAAGTCCAATATACTCGATTGTCCTCTCCCTCCCCCAGGGTGGAGGCTGGGCCCCTCTAGTCCTGCTCATAGTATTCTTTACTCTGTTTGGAGGATTGCCCACTAGAAATTGGAGTAGCAAGTGTCTCAGAAGAACCCCGTTTTGACAATCTTTTTTTCCTTGCATTTCATGTATCCTCTTCTGTGCCTCAAAGGTGGAGGTCGATTTTTGCATCCCATTTTCTCATGGCCTCTCCATGGTCACACAGTCAAAAGCACAGGATGGAACCTGGTATCTACCCACTATGTCACCTTTCTTAAGCAGAGGGATGCTTACATCTGATAGCTGAGCTATTAGTTCGTGCAGGTGGGGAGGAAGCCGTATTCTCTTGTAGTTGTTGGACCTCTTGGGAAAGTTTCTTTCTGGATGAGACACAGGCCCATAGGGAAGAAGAGAGACTTGCTTTGTAATGCCATAGTTGGCTAGCCAATTCATCCACCATAGGTTCCTCTTGGTCTTTCCAGGTCATTACTGCCAATGGGTTGGCATATGATGATGGTGTGCTCTGTACAAACTCCTGCCCCATGGGTCATGTGCACTTGACTTCATCTGGATCTTTGGATAGCTGTTTGTTACCTAGGTTTATACAAATCGCCTTCAGTATGTCTAATTTCCTCAGGAACGGATATCCCTCTGCATGGTGGTCCACTTTCCTGGTTGACATACAAGATCTTCTTTAAAGGGGTACCTTTCCTTCAAGCATGATGGGAGTAAGTTCCTTGTGCCCTTTTCCAATGGCTTTGTCAATCACCCCTTTCCTAGAGGGGGATTCTGTCTGCTTGGCTTCCCTGCCCTCTAATTCCAGGCTATTGGCCCTTTTCTCCCACCACTGGAGCAGCCAGCTGACAATGTGCTCACTGACATGATGGCTAAAATATTTTCCCATATCTCATAGCTTACCCTGGAAAAGGGATAGCTTGGTTTCTGATGTTTATATAATCTCTTTGTCTTTGTCCTCCTGCTTCCAAGATGTCCCAACTTTGGAGAAACCTGTCTCATCTTCTTCTTCCTCCTTTCTTGCCTGGGTAGGAGTTTCTTTCCTCTCTAAAGAAAAACTGACTTTCACACCCATTGTTTTCTCTTGCATGTAGAGGCAACCGATACTGGCACAGGCTGGTTCTCTGGCCCAGCCATGGAACCCATTGCAGGTGCTGGAGAGGCTGCAGGGCCCAACACAGGACTTGTTCTGGCTGCAGGGCCTTTTGGATGAGTTGGAGCGGCTGCAGTGCCTATTGCAGGTTTGGGAGTGGCTATAGGGCCTGTCACGTGTGTCAGTTTAACTTTGGGCCCACCTCAGGAGCCAGAGTGTCTGCAGGGCCTGTTGCATGGCTTGGAGTGGCTTTGGACAGGCTATATACCTGTCCTGGAGGAGAAGGGGGAGGTGCAGGAGAAAGGGAGAGGGAAGAAGTGGTGAAAAGCATCCCCCACTGTCCTTCCCAGTTCCACTCACCATCACCACCCACCCTGCATAGATTTACTCTCGAAAAGAAAAGGCAAAGAGTATAAAAG